GTCACAGGGTCACAGGCCACAGGGCGAGCTCGGCCCCCACCCTCACCCAGCCCAGCCCCATGACTGTCACAGGGTCACAGGCCACAGGGCGAGCTCGGCTCCCACCCTCACCCAGCCCAGCCCCATGACTGTCACAGGGTCACAGGCCACAGGGCGAGACCATCCCCACGACTGTCACAGGGTCATAGTGTCAAGATTTCTCCCACTGGGCCCAAGGCATCAAAAAGGCGAAGCCTGTTTTTCCCTCTGTCTGCCTCAGGCACCTGACTTGGCAGGTTCTGGAGGGTTTTGTGAGAACGAACACTTGCCTTGCCAACCAGACGGAGGGAGGCGTTGTGTGTGGAGGGGCTCCTGCTGCTCTCAGCCCTTCTGAGGGAGCAAAACACACTCAAGGAGGGAGACACGACCCCCAGCCACAGCTCGAGACTCGCAGATGTGAGGCCCTGGAAACGCTTCTTCCAGGTGCCCTGGAATTCCTGCAAAGTGCACGGAGAAGCACAGGGAGAAGGACGAGCAGGGAGAGAAGCTGGGCCCAGACAGGGAGAAGCAATGTGGGTGAGGCACAGGTGGAGGGGGGTGAGAAGTGTCTGCCTCGACATTTCCCTGCTGGGTTTTAAAAATGCGTCCGATGTTCACCCACGGCTGACTCTCGCTTCGCCCATTAGATGTGCTGCCTCCGTTCGTCCCTTTAAGAACCTTACAAGACAAATATTTTTAAAATCTTCATTTTCTGTCTTAAAAAATCAGTTGGCCAAACTGAGTGGCATGCCCAAGGTCACACACCCTGCACGATGGAGCAGAGCCTGGAGCAGCCACTGAGCCCCCAGACCCCACAGCTCTGTGCAGAGGCCACTGCTGGGAAATGGGAATCGGGGCCTGTGGAGAGGAGTCTAAACCCTAACTGGGTGATATCACCCCAGAGGGCCCAGCTGGTGTGTCCAGGGCAGGGCCCTGAAGTGTGCCCTTATCATCAATTATTGATTATTATGAAAGAGGCCCTCACGCCACCATCTGACATTCATGGTTTATGCCAGGGAAAGCTTTAATTCTGACAGTCATAGGACATGGAGGCAGGAAGAGGCAAAGCGTCGCTCTGCGCGTCCCGCTCTGCGCGTCCCGCTCTGCGATCCAGCAGCCGCTGTAATCACACTGACAGGCTTGTCCATCCCCACCTTGAGAGAAATCAATAAGAAATTACAGAATACCAAGCAAATTTCTACGCAATCTGGTATGGGGTGAGGGGGTCGATCATGTTGGTTTTTTGCTCCATCTTTAAGTTCAATTTTGGAAAATCACATGGTTAATCGCATTTGCCACCCCTCGGCCTGAAACACACGACACAGCAGAGCTCAGTGCTACATGTATACCCAAAGTGCCTAATGATTAACAAAAGCATTTGCACTGCGCACTTTCTCTTTGGAAGGCAACTGTTTCTACTGCAATCAACTGTAAGTGAATGTCACACACCTATGACTTATCAAGCTCTGAGATCCACATTTTAAACAAAATTATCTCCCCAGACCTAATACTTTTTTAGCCGCCATTGCCAGAGAAAACAACAGAACCGCCTCACAATTCAGAAAATTCAAATGAGAAATAGAGATTTTAGCAAACAGAGAGCACTTTCAAAGCAGGGCCCAGAGCCTTCTTGCAGGAGCACCCCTGTGCAGTGATAGTTGAGGCCAAGAGACGGACGTTTTTGCTCTGAGCCGGACAGGCAGGCAGCGTGCCACCTGAAAAGAACACTCTCCCATATCAGGACACCTCACGAAGACACCTGATTTTGAAAGGCGTCTTTTGTGCCTTTGAAATTGTATGTCCTTATTATTCTCCAACAACAGCGTCATAAGCTGTGGGGCGGGGAGCGTGGGGCTGGGCCAGCCAGGTCTCATTCCTGCTTGGTTCTTAGGCCACATGGAAAGCAGGTCCACGTGTCAACATCCAGCCACTGTCAACCTCTATTTCCAAGCAGTAAAAATTGCCTCAAGTTTCCACTTGCTTAACGAGAAAAAACTCATTCACACCCAAGAGCCTCTCCCCACAGACAAGGCTGATGAGCAAGGGGAAGCCTCCGTGTTCTCGCCAGGGACAGGTCACTGTCCAGTCAGGGGCGGCTTGTGGGCCCAGCTTCATCTTCCTCTTCCAGAGAGCCCGGAAAAGGGTGTTACAGTATAGAGGCCAAGACGGTGATGGAACTAATCCGTTTCCATAGAATCAGCTTTACAGCAACAACACAGACAAGGCTGATCTGAGATGCCTGGGGCCGAGCTGCACCTCGACCAGCTAACAAACTCTGCAACCTCAGTAAAGGAAGCTCCTTACCGAGCAAATCAGACAGTAATACCCTCCCCAGGGCAAGAGAAGCAGCAAAGTCCAGGTTATGCCTGAGCCAGGCCTCAGGGAGGAGCAAGGGCACAGCTCACTACCGTAATTCACAGAGTATTTTGTAGTAAACCTGCATGGAACCTTCCAGAAGCACATTCACCATGAGGGCAGTATGGACCTGGCAGGCCATGCAGCCATCCATGGCTGAGATTCCCTAATGGAACAGCATTGCCAGAAAACAGTGGTCCATGATGGTCAGTCCAGAAAAATTAAATTGTCATCAAATGCATCCATCACCCCAGCTAGCAAATGATGATTTTGCTCAATTGACTTCATAGCATTTTCTGCCAAAGAAATAAAGCACTGCAGACAGAGGTGAAGCCGACCCCGGCCCCTCACTGCACTTCCCTCCTGCACTCCCCAGGGGAAGCTGGACTGGATCTTTGTTACCCACACATCAGGACCCTTGTCACAGAAGGATGATTACATGAAGAATATAGAATGTTGATGTTCTTATAACTTATATTAGTAATATCACACCCTATGGTTTATTTTGCAAGTCAATTTTATTACCTAGCATGCTATTTTTTGAGATTCATCTACACTGAAGCATATAGATATAGTCCATTAGATGCTACATAGTATTCTGTAGTGCGCTTATTTCACTGATGAGTCACCATTCCTCTAACCATAGGAACATGCGCACTTTCAAACTTTGCAGTTTCGCGAAAGCGTGCTGCAGTGAACATCTTGTTCAGCTCTGCCTCAGTGTATGAAGGTTTCTCTCGGACACATCTCCAAGGGCAGAATTGCTGAGTAACATGTGTGTTTATTTATTCATACCTGATGCTCCCAAAATGCTTTCCGAAGGAGCTGTACTTGTGCTTGTGACCACCAACCTGCAGTACCTATCCGGAAACACTGGGACATCACAGGCCTTTTTAAAGTGTCTGCCTGTCTGATGAAGGTGGCAAGACTCCCGGGGCAGAAGCTAAGCGAGTGGCCTGGGTACTGCCAGGGACCAGCTTCCAGCCGTCCGGGCTACCCTCATGCCTTCCTCCCTACGTCTGATTTAAAGCGAGAGAAAAGTGACTCTTCCTTTCAGTTAGCACTTCAGGACCATTGCAGCAATATTAAGTGGCCTAGTGTCACTGCTGGGGCTTCTCAGGGAGGCCTGAGCAGAGGGAGACAGATGGGGGACTGGCCGGTCAGCGGAGCAGTCAGAACACACACAGCACTTACTAAGTTTGCCGTCTTAAATAGGTGCGGTTCATGACACCCCAAGACAGTCACCATAGTAACATCAAAGATCACTCATCAGAGGGCACCATAATGGGTATCATAATGGGAAAGTTCAAAATGTTTTGAGAATTACCAAAATGTGGCCAGGCTCTGTAGCTCATGCCTGTAATCCCAACACTTTGGGAAACTGAGGTGGGTATATCACCTGAGGTCAGGAGTTCAAGACCAACCTGGCCAACGTGGCAAAACCCCATCTCTACAAAAATACAAAAATTATCCGGGCATGGTGGCATGTACCTGTAATTCTAGCTACTCAGGAAGCTGGGGTAGGAGAATCACTTGAACCTGGAAGGCAGAGGTTGCAGTGAGCCAAGATTGCACCACTGCACTCCAACCTTGGCAACAGAGGGAGATGATGTCTCAAAAAAAAAAAATTTGCCAAAATGTGACACAGAGGCATAAGGTGAGCACATGGTGGGGGGTAAGTGGTGCCCATAGAGTTACTCAACTCAGGGTTGCCACAAACCTTCCATGTGTAAATAACACGATACCTGGGAAGCAAAACAACGCGATGTGCCTGTATTTAAATCATCTCTGGATTACTCATAATGCCTCATACAATGTCAGCGCTATGTAAACCATTGTTATACTGTATTGTTTAGGGAATAATAGCAAGAAAACGTCTGTACACCTTCCGTAGTGATTCATCCATTTTTTCCAGAATATTTTCTCTCCGCAGTTAGTTGAATCCGCAGATGGGGAACTCAGGAATACAGAGGACCGACCGTATTTACCAAATAGGTGTGCCCAGCCTCTGGGGGAAAGGCCAGGGACTCACCCAAGGCCGCAGGGCCTCACCCGGGCGGGCTCCCACCGTTCCCTCCTGGGAGGTTTCAGGCGACAGCGCCTGCCTTGCCGCTGGTTGTGAATGAGGAAGTAGAGTTTTGGGGCTGGATGCCGAGAAGCGTGGAACCCCTGCGCCTCAGCACTGGGGGCGGGGTGGGGCGCATTGGGTACCGGGCCTGGAGGTCCCGGTAGCAAGTGGGAAGGGGGTCACTCGACCACACCACCTCAGGAAAGGCCTCTCTGACTTTTGACGTTGCCCAAAACACATAAAAAGTCAGGGCCACTTGTGTGTTAGGGGCCAGCACAGCCGCACTGAGAACAGGAAGACAGCTCCGCACCGCAGGCCTTCAGCAAGCGCGGCCAGGGACACCACGCCGCTCCTCCGCGTGGGCCGTCGGCGCCCAGGGGCTCGCTCCCTCCTACCCTACCCCCTCTGGTGGCCACGGTCATTTCTCAGGCCTGGCCTGGGGGCGCGGGCGGGCAGGGCGCTGGGGGCGATTCCCGCTCTGCAGCGCGCTCCCGAAGCCAGTGTCTGCCGCTCCCACCACCGGCCGGCCCCGGGTCTGACCGCTCTGTTCTTCCTCCAGGTACCAGCAGCGCCGAGGTGAAGGAGAACCGCAACGTGGGCAACCTGGCCGCGCGGCCGCTGCCCCCCGGGGACCGGGCCGGGGCAGGCGCACCTGGCGCGAAGAGGAAGCGGCCACTGGAGGAGGGGAACGGGGGCCGCGTGTGCAAACTGCAGCTGGTCTGGAAGAAGCTGTCGTGGTCGGTGGCGCCCAAGAACGCGCTGGTGCAGCTGCACGAGCTGAGGCCGGGCCTGCAGTACCGGACAGTGTCGCAGACGGGCCCGGTGCACGCCCCGGTCTTCTCAGTGGCCGTGGAGGTCAACGGGCTCACGTTCGAGGGCACCGGGCCCACCAAGAAGAAGGCCAAGATGCGCGCGGCCGAGCTGGCGCTCAGGTCCTTCGTGCAGTTCCCCAACGCCTGCCAGGCACACCTGGCCATGGGCTGCGGCCCCGGCCCCGGCACGGACTTCACCTCCGACCAGGCCGACTTCCCCGACACGCTCTTCCACGAGTTCGAGCCCCCGGCGCCGCGCCCCGGCCTCACGGGAGGCCGCCCTGGGGACGCCGCGCTGCTCTCCGCGGCCTACGGGCGGCGGCGGCTGCTGTGCCGCGCGCTAGACCTGGTGGGCCCGGCCCCGGCGGCCCCGGGAGAGCGCAACCCCGTGGTGTTGCTGAACCGCCTGCGCGCCGGGCTGCGCTACGTGTGTCTGGCGGAACCGGCCGAGCGGCCGCGCGCGCGGAGCTTCGTGATGGCGGTGAGCGTGGACGGCAGGACGTTCGAGGGCTCGGGGCGCAGCAAGAAGCTGGCCCGGGGTCAGGCCGCACAGGCCGCGCTGCAGGCGCTCTTCGACATACGGCTGCCGGGACACGCGCCCGGCAGGGCCAGGAGGACGCCGCTGCCACAGGTGAGGGGTGCGGGGGGCGCGGGGGACGTGGGGGCCACGGGGACGTGGGAGGCGTGGGGAGCCCGGTCTTTCCCTGGGAGGAGCAGGTGTCAAGGCTTCTCGGGGAAGGAGCGGTCACGCGGGACGGGAGGGGAGAGAATGTCCACCCTGCCCTGGCCCTGGCAAGGGGACGGAAAGCTCGTGGCGCCGGCGGTTTTTAGGGTGATGATGCAGCCGCCCGGGAGGAGACGGCTAGGCCGGGTGCAGCCGAGGCTGGTGCAGCTGCTCAAGGTGGGAGCGGCCGGGGCGCGTCTGTCCACACCTCGGTGCGCTCTGCGGGGAAGGCGGATCCGTGCCAGGCTCGGTCAGGGACTGGGTCTCTACGCGGTGGGGTCGGATGGTCGCGCCGGGTAAGATTGGGGTCGCGTTTTCAACCAGGGAGGCTGGAGAAGGCCGAGCAACAGCGAACCGTCCCCCTGGGGCTGGTGGCCTGTGCCCGGGTGCAGCCGGGGAGGCCACCCAGCCCCGCAGGACCCAGACTGGGTTCCTGGTCCAAGAGAGAATCGCGCTGGGAGGCAAAGGAAGCCAGAGCGCGAGTGGGGGGCCGAGCCTCGCTCTGCCCGGCAGGACCCCTGGTCCTTCTTCCCTGCGTTTACCTTCACTACTTCCAGAACGTTCTTAGCTCTGTGCGTTACCTTTTGAAGGTGTCCAGGTTCTTGGTGTCTTGAACAAAGAATTGGACAGACGCACAAAGCAAGGAAATAATGAAGCAAGGAAATAATGAAGCAACGAAAGCAGCGTGCTTGAAAATGAAAGCGCTCCACGGGGTGGGAACTCGAGAGCCCCTCGCAGAAGCTTCTGGGCTTTAAATACCCTCTGGAGGTTTCCACTGGCTACTAGGGGTCGGCCCTATGTAAATGGCGAGGACGTTTCCTGTCACCGCTGAAGTTTTTCCATTTGATTTAGTTCTGGGAAATCACTGGGAACCGGCCTCCAGACCCTGCTCTCCAGCTTTGTGTCTGTCAGAAACCATTCTGATGCCATTTAAAACAATCTTATCCTGCCAAGTCTTGCAATGGCTGATTTATGCAAATTATCTTTTCTCTTATCATTTTCAGAATTATTTGTGGGCATCACTAATGTAGCAGATACAGAAAATTATCTTTATTCATTTTGGCATCAATCAAGGAAAGAAACATTTCACATAGTTAAAAAGCACTTAGCCCAATGTGGGGGCCGTGGTAAGTGTGCAGTAATTGTAAGTTACGGCTGCGGTGGCTACCAGCCGTACATGTAACACCTAGGATAGAACCCGTTATTTTGCCTTGGGAGATCATAAATCTCTTCATGAACGCAGGGTCCCATCAAACCTCAGACGCCACTCAGGGAGACTACAGGATGACACAGACCACGTGCGGTGTGGCCCAGCCCCCACCTTGAAGACTGGGTTCCAGTGCTCACTTATTCACCTGTGAGCCAATGCTTGCTGGACTGTTGGCCAGCGTGGGGTAAGGCACAGCTCTGCCTTCTGCCTCTCCTGGAGCCATTCCTTCATTTTCAAGTACTTACGGAACATCTGGTGGTGGTTGTAAGGAGTGGGTTGGAGGGATTTAGACCACAGTGTCTCCCAGTCCTGCCATCCAAACTCACCCTCAAATAAAAATACAACCCAAATAAAAGCAAGGCGGCGAACAGCAAGGACAGCTTCCACATACGTCCCTGGCGCGATGTCCTCACAAGGGCGCTGGGGCCTGGCTTGGTGTTCCCGACCCCTCCTTCTTACTTATTACCCTCTCTCTTCTCTTGTCACCATTTCTCCACTCTGTAGCTTAAACTTGCCAGCGACCGTCCTGGAAGCCACTTCACCCCTGCAGCCCCAGGTGGGGGGTCGGGGGAGGGCTGGGAGACAGCCCTCCTGAAGCTGCCCGTGACCTTGGCAGGCTCGGGTCTCCTGCCCCTTCTCTGAGAAGCCCCAGCACCCATGGTCTGGGATGTGGCCCCGCTGCTGGGATACTTTGCTCACCCAGCAGAACCTGGCACTCTTCTGTTGAATCTGTTAAGCAGGAAACATCCCTCCGCCCCTCCCTTGCCCTCTCCTGCGTCCTACTCATGTGAAATGTGAAGGATGTCAGTGAATTCTGGCTGCAATGCCTTTTTCTTTCATGTTGTCAGCCCTGAGCGCTCACGATGGAGAAACCAGGCAGTGCTACTACTTTGTAATAGTCACTTGACCCAGAATGCAGCACATCAGTTAGAGCCATGGCTGCTAAATTATTTTTCTCTGACAGTCCCTAACCACCCCGACTGGATGATGAAGGGCGCAGAGCAGCGCGAGGGTTTCGGGCCATTCATCATTGCTGTGCACGCTGCGTCCCGGGAAACCATCCCCCTCCCTCATACCCCTGCCCACATGCACCCACAGCTGAGCGGGGGCTGGGAGGACAGTGGAACTCAGGGCCAGGAACCTTCAGCAGTTTATTAAATTCAAATCCTATTCCGGATGTGATTGAGGGGAAAGGAATGAAAAGATTTCAGAAATTGCTGTAAATGTGGCTTTTCCTCCTTGCTCTGCTCAACTCCCTCCCAACCCCCATCTCTACGTCATGGACCACCGTCTACACAGCTTGCTTCCTGTTCACGCAGACCCTTGGTCCCACCAAGGTGGCTCTGGAGCTGAAGCTCCTAAAGGCCCTGAGCCCCTGGCCCTTGTCTGATGGCCCTATTAGCAGCTGTGTCTCCAGGGCAAGCTGTGCGTTTTCCTGGGCTGTGTCCTCCACTCCGAAAAGGGCAGGCCTACCTCTGGGGGGAGAGACCGCCCTGCCGGAGTCCATCCAGGTAGCCTGGAAGCAGCACCGTCTGCAGGAAGGAGGCAGTTTCTACACTTGGGGGCCGGCCCCAGTGCGTGGAGTTCGCTGCCCACAGTCCCAGCTCACCCCACGCAGGGCTGGCTTCCACATGGAACAACAAACCCACCTCTGGACCCACAGGGTGTTTCCAGAGAAGCCAGCAAAGGTGCTGTGCATCTGCTCAGGGCTCTCCACCAAAGGCCAACTCCTTCTAGCGACGCTTCAGAACCATCCTGGAGGGAATTCTCTCCTTTAAGTAATAGTCAACGAAAAAAGTTTCCAATGTGGTGATAGTGCATGTGAATCATTTGGATGACAAGTCATTTGGGTAGCGTGCTTAGACACCACTGAGGAGCCTACTGCAAAGACCCAGTGGGTTCTAGAGGGAGGTCAGCGGTCTCCACTTCCAGGTCATCGGGTGGTCAAAGCCCCGCGCTGCTGAGAACCAGTGCGGCCAGAGCCTGTCGTGGTGACGCTCACAGCAGCAGCCTGGAATGACAGGGCCTGCCGGGACAGCTCTCAGGAAGCAGAGCCTCCCAAAAGTCCCTCAGAGGCCGGAGGAGTGTTCCTTTAAGGGTGATCGTTGTGGTGCTGCTTGGGATTCACAACAGCAGCTTCCGTGTAAACACGTGATAAAGATGGCGTACTACAGACTTGGGTGCCATCTGGATTTTGAAAGAGGAAGTTCAGAAGCAGGATATTCTCATAAAGATGAAAATCACAGGTGTGGCTTCTCTGGATCTAATTTTCACTATTTCCTGCACCCAGGAGTGTTTACCAGAATCAGACTCATCTAACCCTTCAGAGTCAGCCAGAGTGACAAAAGCAGGCATTTATCAGATTCCTTAGAACTCATACCAGATCTTAACAGGGAGGGTTTACGGTGCTGGCAGAGGGTTTGCAGGCCAGGCTTCATCAGTAAGCAGGCATTTATCAGATTCCTTAGAACTCATACCAGATCTAAACAGGGAGGGTTTACGGTGCTGGCAGAGGGTTTGCAGGCCAGGCTTCATCAGTATCAGCTGCTAGGGGCAGTGCCTGCTAGGGTACACCTGCCTGGCCCGGTGCAAACCCTCCTCATCTGCAGCCCGCTCCAGGCTCCTCTAGGTTAATTGGGTACTCGGATGTTAGAACAAGACTATGTCGGGATGTAAATATGCGCTATCTGGAGGCATCATCATAGACAATGATAAAAATCACAAAACCGACATCTCTCTTCAGTCACCTGCTTTGAAGCAGGAATGATCCCAGCAGCTGCTTTCTCTCAGCACCTCCCCTTCTGGGTTTTGTGGCCACACACACCATCCTGTGGTCCACGAAGGAAGGCAAGCTTCTCTTTTAGGGAAGCAAAAACACTGTCCTGCAGATCCAGCCATCCCCAAACCTTCTGGCTTTCTTCATGTCCTGAGTCTGTGAAAGAGGTGCTGACGGCCAGAAGAAGGGCGAGAGGTCACAATTGCCCTTACACATGAAAAAATTTCAGAAAATCCCTCCTTAATGAGGTACTAGAGGCTTTGTAGATGCTTCACAATACATGTATGCATTTATACAATGTAAATACGATGTATGTTACGTATTTCCACAATATCCATCTGTACAATGTATATGCAACGTATGCCATATATTTCCATATGTGTACAATGTATATGCAATCGTGATTATGTTTACACAACATATATACAATGAACAGCATGCCTTATGCGATGTACATGCAACTACAATATATGTTTATACAATATATGCAATGTGCAAGACACATTTATATAATAGCTTCTGCCACCCTACTTTCTACTGAAACATGTTAGGTGCAATTGTATAAATGCATAATTCTAAGATGTAACTGATATGTATTTAACCCTGTAGGCTCCCAATACCATGTTTGGAATTCTCAGATATGGTTAGTATGGCTGTTCACTAGTTAAGCAGGGCCTGTGAGCCAAGCTTCACGTTTGTCTGCACTTCAGACAATACTGGCATTCGCAGGCTAATATTGCCCAGGCACTTAATCTGGGTCACACATTAACCTAAGTGCTTCACATGCACAGTAATCCTCATTTAAAAATTTTAGGTCCATTTTACAGAGGAAGACATTGAGTTTCCAGGGACCTGAGTCCTGTGCCCAGAGTCTAGCCGCTGAGGGTGGAGCAAGGTGAACAGTTGCAGACAGGCGGGCTC